TTATAAATCAGTATGGCCAGGACTATTTTACAAAAACTTCAACATCTAGGCTTCTCCAGGGAGGTGTTCCTAATGATGGGCCACGAGTGTGCCCTTAGTGCATTTGAACAATGTATCAAAGACCTGGAAGTCCAATAGGATCAGTCTGCTCTACCTAACAACATTTTTCTGAGCAGTCAAGCCCTTGTTTATAAACCAGTGAGATACTAACATGATATAATTTTCTCCAAATTCTGAAGGGCACTAACTCTAGCACATTGCAATGCTCTTCCTACAGCAGTTTTGGAGGGCTGATGCAAAAAAGTTCTATGTGAGCTGAGTTTGTGCCCTTGTGGACAAGGGGCTCTTGAAACTGCAGCTCATGTCCTGCTATACTGTACCTTCTATAAGGACTCATGGACCCATTTTAAAATCCCTATTTGGTAAAATACCTGGGAAATTCTGACCTTTTTTATGTACAGTTGTTGCTGTCTGATCAGTATGATTCAGTTTCTTTGAACGTAGCAAATTTTGTTATACTGTCTGTAAAATAAGGCACACTTTGATTACCCACTGATGATCACACCTTTAACTGTAATATATTATCATTTTTGGGGGTGTTTTTATAGCATCCCAAGAAAACAGCAGAGAGCAAGGCATCAAACCTGGCCAGTGTAAAGTCCAACAGAGTTGCAAAACAGTGATGGACGAAAGGCAGGATTTAAAAAAAAAAAAATCCCCTGAGCTGAAAAGTACAGAACCAGGCTTAGTTAGATTTGAAAATCAATATCCCACACTGCTTTAGAGCATTTCTAGCATTTTAAGAACGTAATGGGCAATGACAGTCCTTTGCCAACAGATTTAGTTTAGCTAAATTGATTTCTGTTCTCAAAGAATCAGAGGAACCAAAATCACTGAAAAGAAAATTAGATTTAGGGAGAAATCAAAAGGATAATACTAAGCTCTAGTACCCACAGAAGCCAAGCCCATCTCTAAACATGGGGCATTCTTCATACATCGTGGGACTGCCAGAACAAGTCTAAGAAACTTAAACTATATTGTCAAGGATGTCAACTTTGTAAGAGTCCCTGGCAGGTGGTCTTACTGTTTCTTGGCAACGCCTGAAAAAGACAACTTGCCAAACTTCCCAGGGAAAACCTGAGTGGTGTGTTCTAGTTTTCAGTTAAATTGTCACCACATATATTTCTTTATTAATGTTTTTTTTCTGATGGAAACAAGGAAAAACAGAGAAACTTGACTGAATTTGAAAATGTTACATCTTACAATACTGAATGTTTGTTAACAATTTATAATTTATTAGTGAAATTCAGAAAAAGAACAAGTCCAAGATTATGTGACTAGATAGAGGATTAGTTATGGAGATAGAAGAGTTTGAATTTCAGTTGGAAAAGAATATTAAATTTACCTTGAAGATTATACTTAGAGAGAATTGTGGTAAGATGTGTTAACACTAGTAGATTTCCCCAGTAAAATTGTGAAAATGAGTAACTCCTTTTCTGTGAAATGCTGGAAATGTAATGAAAAGATTTCATCCTTCTTCCATATGTGGTGGCAATCTTGCAAAGCTCAGCAATACTGGAAAATAATTCATTATAGAATGGAACAAATGTTGAACGTCATAAGCCCATTTCATCCTGAGATATTTTTATTAAACGCCACTAAACCGTACATTTCTTCAAAATATACTAAACTAGGATTGAATATGTCATCTGCTGCAAGGATTATACATACTTTATTTGAAAAGATGTTTAAATCCTTCTGTTGAAGAATGGCTAAACAAATTGTCGGAATGTACTTCAGTGTCTAGATTAGCTTAAAGGAAATTGGATTTGGAAGTCAATTCTATTTGAAATGGTGCCACGTCCAACATTGGGGTTTCAGAGTCTTTCTCTGACATATAATCTAGATATGTTTTACAAGATTGTTTTAATGTATTGTTTATTATCTGTAGTTTTTCTCTTTCTGTCTTGTTGACTCCAGTTTGTGTTAACCAAGTATCTTTAGAGTTCAATAGAGACATGTTTCTTCACTAGAAATTGGGTATGAAATGCCTTGTAATATTTTAATATGTATTAGTCATATAATATTTTAGATTTGTTGGTTATCTGCCCATATTAATTGCTTTTATTGG